GTGTACGTTCTCAAGCTCTGCTTGCATACAGTCGTGGTTTTGTGTAACCTCCTGCCTTTGGCTGATCTTTATCCAATCAAAAGTAAGCTTAAGACTCAGGCTGATTAGCCGGCGATTCTGCTGGGATAGAGCTCTTCACCCTAATCCACCTCCTGCTGAGACTAAACAGTAAGGGAAATGATTCCTTTGTATGCAAATGCAATGACCAAAGTTGCAAAGTATTTCTAAAGTTTATTACTGTGTTTTCACATAGTGACGAGGGTTACATGAGAGGTTAAAATAAGTTACTTCTACTTAGATTTTGAGACCTCTGGCAGTAAAACATGGATGTGTTTGATATAGTTTTATAATTTAAAAAAAAAATTTTTATACTAAATAAAATGCTGTGCAACACAACTTAATGTAACTGTCATATAGAGTAATAAAAAGAACAACTTTTTAAAAAACAAAATGCAAAATAATGAAAGAAAACAAAGCGGATGAACCTAACTAAGAATGCCACTTTTCGTAAAGAAACAAAACACAACTAGGGCTGCAACAGCTAATTGATAAAATCAATAATAATCGATAATGAAAATAATCGACAACGAATGTCATTATCAATTAGTCGCACGCGGAAAACTTCCGCCAGTCACGTCAAATTACAGCAGTGATTAACGCATTTCTATGGACAAAATGCATCTAAAAATAGCGGATGAAACAGAGTGAGCTGCTGCGGTAAAGATGTATGATCCAAGCTGCCCGAAACATGAGAATGCTTTATTTTAAACTTCACGCTAATGCATTAGTGTAATGTTTAACATGGCTTGTCCTGTTGTCCTGTCCTGTGCTTTGACAGATGCATATGCTGTTTAATGTGTGAGATATGTTTCCTCAGCGCATAAACTGAATTTTACGGTAAGATCCTTTTCTGTAAATGTTACATATTCACGTGAATGTTTCTATTTTGCATGAAGGCTCAGACTTCACACTTCACTGAACAAGCGCCGGCACACGCATGCGTATCAAACAGACGGAACGCAGTAAAGAGGGAGAAAATTTATATTCAGCGCAATAATATTCATTTTGCTGATATATCTGTTACTGGACGTTACATTTAGGTTTAAAAGTCAACATGTAATTCAAGTATTTTATGATAGTAACTGTAAAGGGATAACAGAGTGTGATTGAATATAAATGCAAGACGTTTCTTACATTTACAGAATAAAGAAATGACAGTAACAGGTTACTGTGTTCAGAGTGAATGTGTGTGTTCCTGCAGAACATTCCTCTTATCTGTTAACACTGTGTTTGTGTTTTTCTTTACTATCTTCATCATTATAATTTCCATTTTAAATATAGGGAATTAAACTATCCTATGTCCATTTGTCTGTTTAAACCATCCATTTAAACTGTGCTTTATAACTCTTTTACACATAATGTATTGCATAGAGATATATTCACCATACAGTATTTTTTCATAGCATTCAGTTGGCACGTTTGTTTGAAGGACAGCATTGGGCAGGATGTGGAATAGTGTGTTTTGTCAATAAAAAAAAGAGAGGCATTTTATTCGATTAATCGAAAAAAAAATAATTGGCCAACCAATCGATTATCAAAATAATCGTTAGTTGCAGCCCTTAACACAATACTGTAATGAAATGTAGGCTAATTAAAAGTACCATAATGTTTAACTACGTTTTCATGAAAAAAAAAAATGCAAAGACAATGAAAGCTTTTGAAAAGAAACTAAATTTTGGGTAAACAAACACAAAATCAGTGTTGAAAGCTGAAATGAAATAAAATATAAATATTAGATGAAAAACTTTAAAAGTTTAGACAAAAACTAACTGAAATAATTTTAAGTGCTAGAATTACTAGAAGCATTTCAAAAAGAAACAAAGTAATAAAAAGAAAAACCAAAATGCAACTTTCATGCAAACTTTCACGTGACGGCTCACGGCTTGTTTCATTTGGTATTCAAACCAGCAACTTTCTGCTCACCAGCTCTGAGCTCTCACTCACTCTCACCCACTCTCAGGCCTGGCTGAGGTTGCTGCAGACTGAGTGATTGTGTGTGACTGCTGCATTATGGCTCCTACAGAGGAACACAGTATAAAATTGCTCTCTGTGACAAGAGTGATGTGACATACTGCTTGAAGTAATCGGTTTCAGCCTTGAGGAACTTTTCAAAAAGACCGAAACAAGCACTTTTGCTTCTACTGAGTCATACACACACACACACACACACACACACACACACA